GATTTCTGTATCCATATCAGATGTGATGTCATTAGATGTTGTGTATCCTGCCAATTCTGATGTTGTTGACTCATTGTTATCAGAGGAAATTTCCATTTCTGTTGTATGAGTGCGTTTGATTTTTTTTGCCTGGGAGCGCGTGAGTGATTTGCTTGTTCGTGAGTATGGTTTGGATCGGGTGTTGCCTTTTTTGAATTCAAAAAGTGCGTCTGAAGTGTTGCCAGATGTGTTGATAGGGGTTTGCCACTTGGTATTTTCTTGATGAGATGAAATACCTATGGATTCAAGACATCATCTCTGAATTCGTTAATAAACTTACCACCAAACTAATCAAACAAACAAAAAAAGAAAAAATCAATAATAATATTGACAACACACAATATACAATATAAGTCAAAACCTTTTGCAAAACAGTACAATATCTTTTAATTGACTTCAATAATCTAACCAACTCACAACTCAATATCACTCACCTAACTTACAAATTCGTTCCAGAAGATCTAATCACTTTTATCAAAAAATTCCAATTTAATCAAAAATCAGTTATATCTATCGCTCACAAAATCACTTATTGGTTTGTCTTGCAAGTTAAACTCAAAATCTGAAACTCCAGATGCACTACACAAATCAACGCTGACAAACAAAACAATATACAAAAGAAATACAAGATCAGAATCACTAATAAATCTGGTCGTTCTATCAACAGCAGCTCACACTACACCTCACTTCACAAAAAATTTTCCAATCCATTCTTATGTGACTGCGAATTTCTTCCTGAAGAACACATCAATGGCAACTGTCCTCCTTCATTCACCCCCATTTTATACAGTAACATCAACATTATTAACATCATCAAATTGAGAACCTTAAGCGACAATTTGATGAACAATCTCAGCTTTGTGTAGTTATTCGATAGGTCACTGGTGACTAGTCGCATCGATAACTTTTAATGTAGTTCATTGGTGATTTTCAGTTTAATTTCTTGTCCTTCGTATTTGTATACTAGACTAGATAACTCTGTAAACAAGACTATACTATAGCAATAAAAAAAATAATAATAATAATAATTATAACAAAAACAACTTCTTTTCGCATCTCTCCCATGTCAATCCTTTGACCAGAGAGAGGAACAAATTCAAAAGTGCGAAAACACTTCACATTCCCTAAGAAAAGAAGTCTGTTCCTTCAATTACTCACCAAACAAACCCATCTCGACTCTAATTTCTATTTTCTTTTCAAATTTATTTCTCTTTTATTTGTTTCTTCTTGCAAAATACACAAAAATTAAAAATTTCTTAAAAATATTC